CTACAATAACAAACGCAACTGCTGCTCCAGCCGCGACTTCTGATGCTACTACAATAACAAACGCAAATGCTGCCCCAGCCGCGACTTCCAATGCTACTACAGTAACAAACGCAACTGCTGCCCCAGCCACGACTTCCGATGCTACTGCAGTAACAAACATAACTGCTGCCCCAGCCACGACTTCCGATGCTACTGCAGTAACAAACGCAACTGCTTCCCCAGCCGCGACTTCTGATGCTACAATAATAACAAACGCAACTGCTGTCTCAGCCGCGACTTTTAATGCTACTACAATAACAGAGATAATTGCCTTGTCTTCTGATGCTACTACAACTGCTACTCCCGCCACGACTTCTAAAAATATCGCAATAATAAGCACACCTGCTGCTCCAGTCACTGTTTCTGATGGTACTACAGTAGCATACTTAACTGCTTCACTTTCCGATGGTACTACAATAACGAACGCAACTGTTTTGCCTTCTGATAATAATGTAACAACAAATACAACTGCCGCTCTAGCCGCCGCTTTTGAAGCTACTACAATAACAGGCGTAGCTTCTGGTGAAACTACAACAACAAACATAACTGCTGCACCTCCTGATGCTACTACAGTAGCAAACACAACTGTTTTGCCTTCTAATGCTACCGTAATAACAAACATAACTGTTGCTCCAGTCACTGTTTCTGACAACACTGCAATAACAAACATATCTGCTGCTCCATCACCTGGCGCTATTGCAATAACAAGCGTACCTGCTACTCCAGCAGATGGCGCTACTACAATAATAAACACGACCACTGCTCCATCTATGGCTTCTGACGCTACTACAGTAACAAACGTACCCACTACTCCGGCCGCGCCTTCTCTTATTACTATGATAACAAACACAACTACGCCTTCTGATGCAACCATAAGAACAAACACAACTGCTGCACCTCCTGATACTAAAATAACAACCATGCCTCCTACTTCAGCTGCTGCTTCTGATGCTACTATAGTAACAAACACAACTACTTTGCCTTCTGATACTGTCACAGTATCAAACATAACAACTACTGCACTTCTTGATGCAAACACAATAACAAATATAACTGCAGCACCTCCTACTACAATCATAATTCTTGCTTCAGATGCAGTTTCTGATGATAATACAAAATTTACAACTGCTGCTCCAGCCGTAACTTCAAATGCCTCAACGACTATTAGCAAGGCACTGTTTCTCGACAGTGCAAAAATTACTGCTCTGAAACAAGCAGTATCCACTGGGCACTCAGCTACTAACGCTTTTGGAAGTAATTTGCAACACATAACGTCTAAACGCAGGACAGCTCCGAGGAATTTGGCACCTCTAAGAACAACAACATCAACTCCGCCCTACACAGTTACTATCTGAAACGAGGACCGTTCATGGTTCATTTGGTCGTGTAATCCACTGTTTAATAAAATTATTTTAGCCCAAATGATCGGTTTCAATTTGGAGTAATCCAAGTGGGTCCAGTTATGCAATGGTCACAATATCAACAGCGACTGCGCCTCGCCAGCATGAAAGTTCGTTTACGGAGTATGAAAATATATGTTGCCTGGCATCAATTTTTTGTTATTTGTCAGCTTCAGCATTTTTGAGCTTGAAATATGAAAGCTCTAAAGCTGTAAAAAGAGGAAAAGACTTAAAAATGCTAAATATAAGTATCGATAAAAAAGGTCATTTTTTGTTTAGAAGCATATTTTCTGGAAAGCCTAACATCCGTTTTTTCTTTTGGGAGTCTCTACTGTTTACAGGAAATGCAAAAA